TTCAGAAGGGACAACATATTAATAACCGCCGGGTGGTACCTCCGCGTTCGACAGTCAGAGACCATCTACCACCTACGGACAATCACAACATCCATAGCCAAGAGAAAAATTTCTCCTGAGACGGGACTCGAACCCGCACAGCGCACCGCGACTGATCAGGAGACTGAAGAGTCTACTACTGCGGCCACCGGTTTTTTACGTAATATCCGTACGGGAGGCAGATGCAAAAACATGTGAGCAGTACTTGAGGCTAGGTTATATCAAGACCTTAAACAAATGACCTAAGGTTTGAAAAATACATACATTAGAAGTGAGATTTAACAGTTCTGAATCATACCCTACACTTTTTGATTTACCTACTAGTTTTAAACTAGATACATACATAGTAAGTAGCGGACATCTCTTATCTATAAGAACCTTAATTGCGCATACTTTGCAATCAGGATGGCCCCAATTAAGTGAAAAATATAGCAGGGAATGGCATTCCTTGCGTTCATCATAAATTTTGCAAGCCCTAATCAAAATACTCAAGGCACATATCCATGAAATGCAATATAAATCGAATAGCGATAACTAGAGAACTTGAGCTTAGCTCTCGCCAATTATGTTTTAAATCCCAGTTTAATGATATATATTATCAGAGGTATTCCAAATTGAAATCATGAATGGTATCGGAGAAGAGTCACCTAAAACCTCTATAAGGTAAAGTCTTAAACATATAGGGTGCACTAGAATCTGTAGACATTCTTATGACCTAAAAACATCAAGCGAGAACTACAATAGAATGGCTAACTAACAAAGCCTTTGGTCGCGATATGATTCCTGCCATCATTTTGAAGAGATCATCTCCATAGCTTTTTCCGTCCTTTCAACATTTGCTTTCCGTTGTCTTTTCTCAATGACTGGATCTATACCGTGCTGATGATTGCTAAAAAGCGAAAAACAATGTTGTATACGGTTGGTTATGGTCACGGAGAGGAAAGGCAAAAAGATACTGTTCAACATGTATCTTGTTCTAAAAGCAGCATCCAAGGCTGATTCTTACATGTGAAGACTTAGTAGTTCTCATATTTTCATTTTTGAGATCGTCATTACCAACAATAGAGATCCCCACTTAGTCCTAACATATGTCGCACAGTTCTGGCCTAATTTCGTTCAATTAAATATATATTGCAAAGTCTCTATCAGGCAGTTTCTCTAGGAAAAACTACCATCCAGAGAGTTTCTTTACATTGGTAGTTGACTTCTTTTTTGGGCGTAAGATATCCGTCGTAATTCAACTCACATTGTCAACTCAGACGTTTCTCAAGGATTGGTTGTGGGTTCAACATTATTTTTGTTACCTGAAGTACAAATTCGTCGCATAAAAGTATAGCGCTTGCTGTATACCAGAGGTCTCGGTACAGTTATCTTGTGATTTTATGAATGAATCAGGTGAAATAAAGAGCCTACTCTCTGTTCAAATAGTAGTAGGCAGGATCACCTTCCGGTTACTCATATCACCGGTTCTGAAAAGCAGAAACTGGTCGCCGAGACAAATCGTGGGCGGAATCTTTTTTCTAGGTATTTGTGAGTGTGCTTTCTCAAATGCAAATACATGTTACGTATCTATATGTCTATATTGATCAAGTTGCGGTTCTTGTGGAAATTGTTTTAATTGCTGTAAATTGGATACCCATTAGTCAGGGGACAGAGCTGGTTTTTGTCTAGAAGTTGCTGTTAGTTTAGTTTAAGTTAATGAAGTAAACGATTGATATGTTCTGATTTGTCTTGTTTCTGGAAATGTAATCAATCATTGTGCTTTTAGTAGCTAATTTAGTAGTTATATAGTTTATTTTTGTTCATTTCAGAACGTCCTCCAGGCCCAGGAATAGCGACAAACTACACTGTTCATCTAAGGGCGAATGGCCTATTTCGTTTATCACCATTAAAGAGTAGAGATATCTTGAGTAAAATTAGAGTCCCGTCTCTCTTAACAAAAAAACATGCAACATAAAAATTTAAAATTTGTTTTTATTTACTTACGGTTTCCCATTACATACAAAAAATCATTACATTAGCTTTATATAAATTATTAAACTAAAAAAGAACTAAAGAATCATGTGATATCCAACTTACTTATATTTAAAACCTAGCAAACTAAAGTTAAATGGAAACGTTTTGCATGTGCTTAGTATTGCCACTGAAAACTTCTACTACATTGTAACTTATAGAGGCGTTCCCAGATCTAAGGCCCGTATCGTCATTCGACCCTACAATTGTAGGGCGCGTTTATGGCCTCTTTGATTGTCATACTCCTTTCTCTCCTTCAAAAATTTCTAGATTACACTTGTCCCGTGTCAGCGTCAGCGCGCTCCTATTGTGAAGATTTGTTTTCCTTTTAAATTGTAGGAAATTTCAGGCTGATAAAACATGATATAACTCAAAACCAAGCACAATTTGATGCAAATTGATGTTTGTGACATAACCTCAAAATAGAGCGCTGGCACGCTGAAGTAGAAAACTATGACAATCAAGGAGGCCTGAAATTTCCTACAATTTAAAAAGAAAACATATCTTCACAATAGAAGAGCGCTGACCCTGACACGAGACAAGTGTAATCTAGAAATTTTTGAAGGAGAGAAAGGAGTATGACAATCAAGGAGGCCATAAATGCCCCCTACAATTGTAGGGACGACTGACGATACGGGCATAAGAATTCTAGTAACTAGTTCATTCGTATCATCATTGGCGGAATAATGTGGAATCGTGAATAGTTATGTATTGTGAGTTCGTCTTTTATTAAGATTTATTCATGTAAGCCACCTGGACAGTCTATGACACCATTAACTATTTTAATCAGAAAACATAAATCAAAAATTTCCTTGCGTTTTTTCTAGGGGTCTATATGTTTAACGTACGCATTAGTTCTGACTTGGACTACGGTTTTTGCTAATCTGGCAGCTTTTATTGAAATTGATGTTGATCTAGTTTCTACTACACGAGTAAGATTTATGAGATCTCTTTGTAAGATTTCCGCATCGTGGATATTTTTCGCTGTTCTGAATAATTTAAGGTCATCTGCAAAAATCAAATAACTGTTATTAGATATAGATCCTGCAACATCGTTAACAAATAAATTGAATAAAACTGGATCAATGCGGGGGCCATGGGCTACACCTGAAAAGACATTGATGGGCGTATCTGACTCACTGTGTTCGTCCTGACAGGAGCTTCTAATCCAGGATAGTTGACTGCCTGATACTCCAAGGTTTTCTAATTTAGCCAAAAGTAGATCATGATTTACTCTGTCGAAAGCTTCCGTATAATTTTCTTTTGTTAGACTTTTGAAATAACAATCAAAAGTAGTTCAACAATCGGGTTGTGGTGAAAATAATTCAATACAATATTAACAAGTTATTATTCCGCCAGGAGGATCATCTTGACCTTAGTGGTATTAGTCACGACTGATTAAATATCGTAAAGATTCTTTGTTAATGAATCATGTAATTGTTTAATCGTTTACGTTTCTGTGAATTTTCATTCATATGGATTTTGTTATAATCATACCATACATTCAGTCTGGAATTTCTCCATTCAGTTTTAGAACAGATAGTGATAAGATTTTGCGTTAATTTTCGATATACTTATAACTGAAATTAAATCAATCACTCCATTGGTTGATATCTTCCTGAAAAATTTGTATCAGAATAATAATAATAATAATAATAATAATAATAATAATAATAATAATAATAGGCAAGCTTAGAAGTAGGCAAGAAAGAAGTAGCTTACTGGGGGTGTACTTAGCAAAAAGAAAAATTGCTTCCAAGGCATAAGGTATTAAACTCATTTGGAAGATTACTGTCCTGGCTATAACACCGTCCATATGTGCATATTTGACGCAATTCAGATGCATCTATTTTCTAGACCTACTAAACCAACTTATAGGCTTCTGTTACAAATTAATTAAGTGATCCTTCATACCAAAAAGACGCTTTTCCAACATACCGTGACCGAGGTCACAAGAGTAAGTAGGATTGCCTGTTGGGTTTTTCCCTTGAAGAGCAAAGTTTACGTTAATACTCTGAAGGTTATAGGTCGCGAAGTAATAAATAAATAAATAAATATAGACCCCCTGTTCATATGGTTCTGCAATGAAATGGTGGGCATCCGGATGACGTCTGTGAAAATTACAATTCGCACATCTGGAGCTTCATTTTCCTAAAATCTACATAAATTTCGAAAATGAGATATATGTGTGTTGGATGTTATATGACATGTACATCTCGAAAAACCATGTCACTCATTTTCACCCGTCTGTCTGTCTGTCCGCTAATCCTTGGCCCGTCTATAGCTTGAGAAGTACCGCTCGGATGTTGATGAAAATTTCGAACGTATTACTACTATACCAAGGACGTAAAAGCTTTGTAGTTCTTGAAAATCGGTCCAGTGTCGGCGGACAAAAAACCAAAAACGAAAAATAAAACGCCAAAACTTCTCTTTTTTTGACTTTTCAGAGGATCCTGATCATTTTGTGCCTGGGTTAAAAGTCGGATGTTGGGAGTTGTAGGGGATGGAGGAGAGTATAGTTCATTTTTTTGTTGCTAGCAATTTATACGTCCCACCCCGATAAGTCTACGCATCTATTAGATATATTTGATACATCATAGATTTCTCCATACATTAGCCGTCAAAACATAAATTTTTATTTATGTTCGATATACGCGTAACTAGTGTACGTCTTCTTCTTCGAATGCTGAGGGATAACTGATGATGCGTGTGTTCGTGTATGCAACGCCGTACTGGATTACCACGTTGTTGGGTGGTCGATAGGGCGGTGGGTTAGATCGCAATGTTTTGTTAGTTAAGGTTTTGAGTAAATTCCCTGGGCTAAGGGTTCCGCCCCGGAACCGAGTGATTTTTCCGTTTCCATGGCTACCCTGGATGTCCCAGTCTGTTATCGATCGGGAGCCTGGGTATATAACCCGGCGCGGCTTGCCACAACGCATTTTCATTTGCACCTCGGTCCTACACACTGCGGCCATGTACTAGATGCGCACACACACACACATTCCAGGATTTTCAAAATTCTCATTTCGGAAATACCAAATTCATGCATCCACACTTACAATTCGGCGTTCCAAAATCCAACCGAATTCGGCCCTTGAAAGTACAAACAACGACGGTTTGCACGTGAAAATTGTTGAAAAAATTGATGTCAAGGTGCGTAGAAAACGTTCAAAATTCGGTCCGGCCAAAAAATTGAATATTTGGTGCCCAAAATGTTGATTTATTGGCATATTTCTACGCGTATCGAAAACATGGTGCAAATGCAATGAACATGTATAGTGAGTGATAGAAAATGGTCTGTAATACTCGTAGAAGCTCTCAGAACCTGGTGCGAAATGAAAGGAGGTGACGAATGTAAGTATTTATTTGAAGAATACTAGTCTAAACTCGTCTTTGAGGAAGTAGTGTAAAGAATTAGTGTGGAGGAGATTGGTTTCAGGCAAATAAATACGATATTCAAAATAATGCAATAGTTACTTTGACATGGTCATTTTTTATTCAACATTTTAATGCCTCATGTCCGCAATGAAGGAACAGAAGCAGAAATAGAAGGATTGTTAACCCGCACGTTTCTTGGCTTCATCCAGCCCAAATGGATGTGCATTGAAAATACCGAAGTGAAAAAATATGCCTATCGCATCTGTAACCTGACGGAGAACAAGGATGGAAATGGAAATACATCTAGATCCCGCAAACAAGAGCCATCAAGCACATCTATGGATACGGTCAGAATATCTTGTGTTCACGAGGTATGAACTAACGTCGCCACGGAGGCGAGCTATAGATACCTGCCGTGGTACTTCAAGCCCATCAGTAAATACAAAGAAAGACAAGTAATTTTGTGGAAACTTAGATGAAAAACAAAGGACAATCGTAGACATGTCCGCAATAAAGGAACACTTCGGTGTTTTCGATGCACATCCATTTGGGCCTGATGAAGCTGCCAGCAGAAACGTACTTTGCTCGGGTTGCCAATCCTTCTATTTCTGTTCCAGTTCGTTTATTGCGGACATGCTCACGATTGTCCTTTGATTTTCATCTAAGATCCCGCAAACCTTGTCTTACAATAAATTAATAACATATGTTTAATCAGAATTATAATAAATAATACTTGAAGCAATAACTATTTATTCACAGTATTATACTTGACGTAAAACAAAACACCAAACAAATCTAAATCAAGACGATCACACTAAGAAAATGAATGTCGAAATACAGTAAATATTCAATGCAAATGCCAATTTCGGTCGGGCCAGCGAATAAGCGCTTCCGCGCTAGACACGTCATGTCAAATCCCAAAAAGCTGTTGGGGCTGTAGCCGGTGGAATGGATATTTCAAAGTTGCTTCCTAGGATTACAAGTAGCCTATGTGCTACTCCAGACTATAATCTATCTCTCTATCAAATTTCATCCAGATCCGTTCAACCATTTTGGCGTGATTGAGTAATAAATACCCACACTTTCATATTAGTAGTGGAATAGCGATTTTCAGAAAGTATGATGTATGATAATACACCTAAGTAAGGTAGTAAGGTTCAATAAAAGCGTAGACATTGTGGGTGCGGGTCACTGTTGATGATGATTACAAAGTTCCCGAAATGTCTACCAAAGGATCGGGGTCTATAAGCGGCCCTGAAAATAACTCAAATTTCAAGTTGATCAGATTTAAATATTTTAGAAAATATGTATTTTAAACTCGGATGACATTTTTTTTACCTCCCACGCCTAGTGGCGGGGAAGTATTGTAATTGCGAAACTTTTCGTAAAAGGTATATTATGTTCTTTGCATGTTAGATGACATGTACGTCACGAAGAACCATGCTACTCATTTCCTTCGGTCTGTTTGTTGGGATCTTATAACGCCCTATAACTTGAGAAATACCGCTCGTGTTTCGATGAAATTGTCACACAATGGTACTAAAAATACCAAAAACGGAAAATAATAAAAAACGCTGAAATTTCGTTTTTTGACGTTTCACAGGATCCTGATCATTTTGACAAACATTTTTTGTTGTTAGTTCATTTATACGGTCAGAACCTTGGTAATTCTACGCACCTATTAGACATATGTCACTCATCATAGATTTCTCTGTACAAAAAATATTCCCAGCAGACGGATCGCCTGCCGGCCGCGGCTGTTGCTGCCGGCCTTGGTGAGTGTTCTGCTGCTGCTCTGGTATGCTCTGACCGAATGCTACGACTGACAGGATTAAGTATCGGGGAGAGGCGAAGTTTTCATATGCACTATTTGACTTTTTTCTGATAGGGACCGGATTGCGCTTAACATAATCCATTTTTTATTTTAGCACACGATTGTTTATTAAAAATCCAAAGTACGGAATTTTGGCATTTTGGTCCAAAATTCATCCATTTTCGAATGTCTAGTAAGTATTTTTATTTGAGCGCATGGTTGCAACACTGTCCACTTCCAAGTCTATGCTACCACTACGACACACTAAGACATAGTTTAACTTGTTTTTAACACTCGCAGTACCTCGGTATCTAGACTTCTCCCTCCCGGCTGTATGAGGATAAAAATATTCAGGACAGGATTTTGATCTGAAAGTTTATCAAATTTCCTGCTTCAAAAGCATAGTATAGTGACTTTACCCATCTTTGTATATCTGCATATTTATTGTTTCGAGATGGTACACCTGCAGAAATAACAATAATAGTTAACCCGAAGCACTCTTCAGAGCTTGTTTCCGGCCAATATAACTCTCTGAGTCACAGCTGAGGTACCGTAAAATGTCATGTTTTATTATCGGAGTGTATGCGTACGTGTACCAGAAGATTTACATTCTACACCTTTGCCGTTTTTAGTTACTCGCCGGTTGACATGTTGCACGGCGTCGGTTCCCAGAAACTACATAAGCAAGGTTTATTTTTATAAAGGTTAATTGCACAGCAGGCCAATCTGGGAACTTTGGTCTTTGTACAGATATATCTTCGATGCAGCAGTTAGAAGTAAAGTCTAAATTGGATATGTTTGCTTTCTGTCTTTGTGAACACAGACCAACCACTGACAGCGCTGTTTCGTGCTTTTTAGCAGTCATTATTGCGGTATAGATGATTGTCAAATTTCTTACAACCTTTTATACAACATTTGGAAGTAAAGTACTTAGGAGGATCCTGGTTATGGACCAAATAGACAAATTTCGAAAAACCGTCCAGTTACAAAAAATTGAGGAGGACCAATCACATACAAAGTTTCTTAATCTAAAAGAATACATCCTGATGGAATGCAAGGGTGCTAGATTCTCGTGGACTGCAGAACTCTTTCAAATTCTCACTATTTTGACAGAGTCATATTTAAAAGGCGGTATTGCTTGCCCATATTGGTATCATCCATTCATTTATATTACTATAGTCCTTAATATATACTAAGTGGCTGGCTAATGGGACTGGCCCCTAGTGCAAAAAAACTGCTTCAACTACACTGTCTGATTCTAACTGAAGTTCGACCTTTGAAATTAAGTTCGACCGTCTTTATCAACAATTGTTTCAATTATCCGATTTTTCAATGGAGTTGTGTAAATTGATTATTCTGGATAGCTTCAAGGGAGTTTAAATCTGAAGATCGAACAGGTCCCAAGGCAGCTACTTCTCAACGTATCCATAACCTTCTTTTCTTGGAAACTCATCAGCAACTGCACTAATCTATGACGAGGCAATTTTAGTCTTGCATTCTAGCTGGAGGCAAATAGTCATAGTTGTGGAAGATTATAAAGCTTCACACGTGATTTGTCATAATAGAAAACCTATTTTTGAAAATATTTTTATGGTTGTATATTCGAATAGAATAAAATAGTATACAAAAAACGAACTTAAAATTTAAAATAAGGATTAATAACCATCAATGTAATAATCTGTAATAACTGTACAATTTTAATTTCGTTTCAGTGATATAAACAATGTTGTCCATTTAGAAATGTTTAAATTTACCAAAGTTTTTGAGATTCCTGGTCTTTCCTTAAATTTCCTGTATACTACTACTCGTCGTTGCTTCTCAATGCGGTCCGGAGGACCTTAGCCTTTAGGTCATAGTCACTGTGATGTCAGTGTCTGTCGTCAGTCTGTCAGTTCTGGTGGCCCAGAAACCAGACAAGTTGTAGGGAAATCTCCTGTATATGTGCTGAGATTAGGTTCACTTAACCTTTAAGGAAATACTTGATGTATACCTTTCTGTCACGTCACGCAACTGTGGAGTAAACTCATCCAGACATATGGTCGACCACATTTCCTTTTCGATTAATCCGATTTACAGTTTTCTCATGAAGGAATTCAGAGTGCCATGCCGATATCTGCTGGTGATCTGGATAGAAGACTAGCAGCGACTTCATCTATGCCGAGATATCATGAGGTTATCACTGCTTGGAGATCAGGAAGGACTTGATCTGTCAAGAACACAACTCAATTGCGGCAGCTGCTGTGGAAAAGCTGTGCTATTTGTTGATGGCAAAGAAGAACTTTTCTCCATTTAACCCCCTCACTCCGTACAAGGCCCAGATAAGACCGATAAGACCTAGCCCCTATGGCATAGATCTAGAACTGGCCAGTACGACTGCTCCTTTGTTCCAATGGTGTCGGATTTGAGGAAAAACCTGCCAGAGAAGGCTTTTCCCAGTTGTACTATACTTAGGCTGTTCAAAAATCCGATCAGCAAAGTGTCTTTAAGCTCTTCTAGCAGCCGCTGTGCTCTGGTATTTAGGCTTATGTCTAAACGGCTACTCCCTTATAATAAAAAACTCGATTCCCACGCGTTAAAAAAGTTGAATCAGTGTTCTTGATAGAATAGGAACTACCTGAGTCTGATCATATGTATGCGCTTAAAATTCTTTATTACTCCTTAGTTCTTCCTATTCTTGAATATGCGTCTCCCCACCATCAAAAATACATCACTCAGCTCGACGCCGCACAGACACGTTTTTTCAAGTTCAAATTTTAAAGCAAATAGCATTTACCCACTAACTGGTTTCCTGCAGTTTCCAGTTTGCAAGACAGACGTGAATGTTTTGGCATCAGCTCCCCAGAAGTTTGATGAATGGTACAATCTCTAGCTTACAATCACGTCACACAAGATATTTCATTTCATTGAGACACATCGCGTACTTATACTTTGAACTATCCCCCACTATATACTGATTGCAACTCCTCATGCAATTCAAAGATGTATTTTCATCTGGGTAGTAGTTTTTGTCACTTATACTGTCATTAAACTTAATTTTATGTATTACTTTACTTTTTTCTGTCGTATTTTCCTCTGTTTGGGTGATTTTGCATTTTATCAGTCACCAATACGTTATCTGTTCATTTTACGTTCGTTATCTCATCCTGTAAATGGATTAAATCTG